CCGAACTCTCTCCCCATCCAATACCCCATTAATGTTACGATGTTAAATGTACCAACATGCAGAAAACGAAGTAGGGTATGCAATATGATCTAAAAAACGGTTTCTGAGGATGCAAAACCCAATGTGAAAACTTCCGTTGTAATATATACTTCGATGTATGTTGATATTATAAAATGCAAAAAAATAAATTTAAAAAAAAGGAATATAATTTGAGCCAAATTGAACATTGTATTTGAATTTACCAGAAAAAACGCAAAAACTGACACGTTGAAATTTGCCTCTTAACAGTTGGATTCTGAGGAAATGTGGGTACAGTTTGATGTTCTAGCATTTTTTAGTTAAATTTTTAGCATTTTGCATATTTTGCGATTAATCTCTAAATGTGCATCCAAATGAATGAATTCCAAATTAAGTTAAATTCTAGTTATTTATTTAATTTTTACAGCTGGGGTAAATTCTGAACTGTAAATTAATCCTATATCATTTTTGATTTGCCTCACTTTTCTTATGCATACACACACTAGCACACAATGCTATCGATATAATGTGTGTATATATATATACTGATACTTAGACATGCAAGACAATGCACACACATTTTTTCAAGAGCACTCATACTCTTTGTACCTGCTCCTCATTTCTTTGTCTACCTCTAATTCTCTCTCTCCCACTCAATGCATTTCTCTCCGCTCAGTGTCTTCCCCAACTTTTTTCTATCTACCCCTTTGGTCTACCTGGTATTTAACACTCCTAGAACATTAAAAACAGCCCTTGGAATTGTTATATGCTAGATAGGACAATTTTATACCACAAGCAATATTCACCCTCCTTTCTGGAAACTAAATTGTTAATACCTCATGAGCTACAATTTAAAAATCTGGAAATCAGCAGTTCTTCTTATGAAACAGTAAACCAATTTTGTTCTAATGTTGGTGAACATACATTCACGATAAATAATTCATTGTAGCTTGAAATTATTGAGCCAAGCTACCACTGACGGTAGCTTCATACCATAGTCCTCTTATTCATACAATTAGACAAGACTTGGTCTTTTAACTCAAATGAAGTGTTGGTGGTATATGAGGTGTTGGTGGTATAGTGGTGAGCAAAACTAACTTTCTAGCAGGTATTTGACTTCCTGGCCAATACACTTTCTGTTAATATCCATTTGCTGGAGGAGAAGTGATAAAGGGGTCAATAAACTGAATGGCTTTGAACAATATTGCATTGATTTGGTTTACTATTATCCTGTTGTAGAAATGCAGACATTTTGACGGCAAATCTATCTTTTCTGCCAACTCTCTGGAGTCTGTTCCAGTTTCCAACTGCCCTGGACTTTTATCCAAATATGTCGACAGACAGCTCTCAACATGCAAGCTAAATGTACATTCATAAAAGGGTTACTGTTCTTTTCAGTGTTATGCTTTTTCATTTTCTCTTCTTTTGATGATATCTGTATATATTCTTTTGGACCTGTATCACAAAGCAGTTTTATAACTCAGAGCCATCCCAAATCCATTAAGAAAAGTCTTGATTTGGAGCCTCAGTTTTCTAGTGGGTCCCCCTGCTTTTTTTTTATTAAAGCTGTATTTTATTGGTTTTTCTTTTTTTGTTCAAGAAAATCAGGGTACAGAAAATAAAAAGAGGGGAACGGGTACAGAAATAAAAAGCAGTTCCGATATTGAGGCATACGTTCATATTAGTAAAGAAGGCATGCATGTTACATGACAGTACATTGGTATCACCATATTATAAAGA